AAAAGAAAATTGAGTTTCTTTAGAATTCGGTATGTCCGATTCTTTATCTTCTCGGTGTGTCCGAGTCTCAGTCCTCCTAAGTTGTGCGTGTGTCGCCTTCTTTTGAGGATCTATTGTGACGATATCAGGAGGACTCTCCATCCCCTCTTGTGGTGTCACCGATCCACCCATCCTTTTCACCCGTAAGCTGAGTTCGAGCGCCTTTAAGGCCGGTGATTGGCTTCGGATAAACCATCCTGAGTGTATCAACCCTTGGAACGAAGGGTGCATTATTTGGTATCAGAGCCCGGTTCAAGGACCACTACACGCGGTTTATCCTATCTAAATTGTTTTTTTGCTACCTATTGTTTCTTGTTGTTTTTTTTTAAAAAAAAAAACAAAGTCTACAGTGAGATTTGGTTTTGAGGACAAAATCTTTTTCAAGAGAGAGAGAATGATGCGGACATGACATTGCTTGAAGAAGAAGAAACGAAGAAATCTCAAAGCTTCCTTATTTGGATTCAACTCAAGATCACGAAGGATTTAAATCTGATTTAATTAGATTTAATTTAGATATAATCAAATTTAGATATGATCTGATTTGATTTTATTTTGATACGATCTGATTTGATTTAGATTTGATCTTTTTACCTTATCTTGTTGACATTTGTAATCCTATATAAGGAGATCTTTGTAGACTTGTTTAAGCAGACTTTGGAAAATGAAATAAAAAAATTTGAGTTTCTTTAGAATTCGGTATGTCCGATTCTTTATCTTCTCGGTGTGTCCGAACCTCAGTCCTCCTAAGTTGTGCGTGTGTCGCCTTCTTATGAGGATCTATTGTGACGATATCAGGAGGACTCTCCATCCCCTCTTGTGGTGTCACCGATCCACCCATCATTTTCAACCGTAAGCTAAGTTCGAGCGCCATAACCCACAGGTCCCTGGATCGTCACAATAGATCCTCAAAAGAAGGCGACACACGCACAACTTAGGAGGACTGAGGTTCGGACAAACCGAGAAGACTGTAGACTTTGTTTTTTTTTTTGAAAAAAAAATAACAAGAAACAATAGGTAGCAAAAAACAATTTAGATAGGATAAACCGCGTGTAGTGGTCCTTGAACCGGGCTCTGATACCAAATGATGCACGCTTCGTTCCAAAGGTTTATACACTCGGGATGAAAGGTTGATCCGAAGCCAATCACCGGCCTTGAAGGCGCTCGAACTTAGCTTACGGTTGAAAATGATGGGTGGATCGGTGACACCACAAGAGGGGATGTAGAGTCCTCCTGATATCGTCACAATAGATCCTCATAAGAAGGCGACACACGCACAACTTAGGAGGACTGAGGTTCGGACACACCGAGAAGATAAAGAATCGGACATACCGAATTCTAAAGAAACTCAAATTTTTTTATTTCATTTTCCAAAGTCTGCTTAAACAAGTCTACAAAGATCTCCTTATATAGGATTACAAATGTCAACAAGATAAGGTAAAAAGATCAAATCTAAATCAAATCAGATCGTATCAAAATAAAATCAAATCAGATCATATCTAAATTTGATTATATCTAAATTAAATCTAATTAAATCAGATTTAAATCCTTCGTGATCTTGAGTTGAATCCAAATAAGGAAGCTTTGAGATTTCTTCGTTTCTCCTTCTTCAAGCAATGTCATGTCCGCATCAGCTAGTATGAATATGGCAAGAAGATGATTCTCCCATCTTCTAAGGTAAAGTCTCCAAATCTGCAGAAATCCCTTGAATGATGCTTCTAACGGCTAGGATGAGTTAGCAGATTTGAGATCAGACTTTTGATGATTTCAGGTGCTTGTTATGCTGATCAGGTGTTCCACAACAAGCTCCCTAATGGCGTCTTCAGGTGTTGGACAACAAGAGCTCAAAAATGAGTACGCTCTTTTTGCTTAATCCGCAAGCTTCTCCGGTTCTTGGATTGTCTTCAAGGGTCTTGGCCACGAACTTGTTGATTATTGAACGCAAGCTCCTTGCTCGTTCCCTTGTGAGTGGTGGATCGGGAATGATCGGGAAGACTGGTTCATTGGTTGTCTCTCCTTGCTTGTCCTCCTCCTTGGCTCCTTTGTGCTCCTCAGCTCCTTTGTGTGTTCCATGGTTTCCTTGCTCCGCTTGCTCCTCGTTTAGCCCATCTAAGTCGATGACCTCATCATCCCCTCCCCCTTGAGAAGGTTTTGACCTCAAAACAGAATCCCCTGCATCAAAAGGAAGCAAGTCAGCTATATTGAAAGTAGAAGAGACGTTATACTCACCGGGAAGCTCCAAACGATATGCGTTGTCGCTGATCTTCTCGATCACTCGGAATGGGCCATCTCCTCTTGGTGCTAGCTTGGATGTCCTCTTGTTTGGAAAGCGCTCCTGTCTTAGATGTAGCCACACCCAATCTCCCTCATTGAAAGTGATCTTCTTTCGCCCCTTGTTTGCTTGTCGTGCATATTGCTCCGTTCTCCTTGCGATATTCATTACACTCTTGGCCTTTTGCACTCGACATGGGGAAGGGAGTCCAGCCAATTCTTCAAGTTTCTCCGTATAGCAGCTCGCAACAACGTCCCCAAAGTGCGGTTGACAACCTCCGTTTGCCCATCGGTTTGAGGATGACAGGTTGTAGAGAACAAAAGCTTGGTTCCGAGTTTTCTCCACAATGTCTTCCAAAAGTAACTCATGAACTTCGTGTCTCGATCAGAAACGATGGTCTTAGGGAGCCCATGAATCCTCACGATTTCCTTAAAGAACAGATCAACTATGTAAAAGGCATCGTTTGTCTTTGCACAAGGAATGAAATGCGCCATCTTTGAAAACCTGTCAACAACAACAAAGATGGAATCTTTGTTCCGGATTTTTGGAAGTCCAAGAACAAAGTCCATAGAAATGTCAATCCAAGGACAAGTAGGGATAGGTAAGGGAAGATACAAACCGTGCCGGTGTGTCTTAGACTTGGCTTGATGGCATTGAACACATCGAGCACAATGTCGTTTGACATCCCGTTTGAGATGTGGCCAGAAGAAATGCTCCTTCACTACAGCGAGTGTCTTGTCCACGCCAAAGTGTCCCATGAGTGCTCCTCCATGCGCTTCTTGAAGAATGAGATCCCTCATTGAGCATTGTGGAATGCACAGTCGCCTTTCTCGGAATAGGTAGTCGTCTTCCTTGTAGAATGATCCATATGCTCCTTTGTTGCACTCCTCATAGATATCCCCGAGCTCCGGATCGTTGTGGTACAAGCCATTGATATGCTCAAAGCCGAGCATCCTTGCCTCCATGGTGGTGATGAGAGTGTGTCTCCTAGATAGTGCATCCGCCACCACATTGTCTTTGCCTCTCTTGTATTTGATCACATAGGGGAATGTCTCAATGAACTCCATCCACCTTGCATGCCTCTTCTTGAGTGTAGTCTGTCCTTTGAGATGCTTGAGGGTCTCGTGATCCGTATGTATGATGAACTCTTTCGCCAAGAGGTAGTGTTGCCACGTTTGTAATGCTCGCACCAAAGAATATAGCTCCTTGTCATATGTGGGATAGTTGAGTGTTGCTCCATTTAGCTTTTCGCTAAAGTAGGCCACGGGTCATTTCTCCTGCATCAAAACAGCTCCAATACCCACACCGGATGCATCACATTCAATTTCAAATACCTTGTCAAAGTCGGGAAGGACTAAGTCGGGTGCTCTCGTGAGTTGCTCCTTTAATGTGTTGAATGCCTTCTCTTGTGCTTCTCCCCACTCGAATGGCTTATCTTTCTTGATAATGGACGTGAGGGGGGCTGCAAGGCTGCTAAAGTCACGAACAAACCAACGGTAGAAGCTCGCCAAGCCATGGAAGCTTCGCACATGTCCGACGGTTGTAGGGGTTGGCCAATCTCGGATTGCTTTGATCTTTTCTTCATCCACACGTAACCCCTGCGAACTTACAACAAAACCTAAAAAGACAACCTCATTAGTGCAGAATGTGCACTTCTTGAGATTAGCATAAAGTTTCTCTCTTCGGAGAGTCTCCATGACTAGCTCAAGATGTGTCACATGATCAACAAGACATTTGCTATAAATCAGAATATCATCGAAATAAACCACAACGAATTTACCAATGAAGGCTCGTAGGACATGATTCATGAGCCTCATGAATGTACTTGGTGCGTTGGTTAAGCCGAAGGGCATGACTAACCACTCGTACAACCCATGCTTCGTTTTGAATGCGGTTTTCCATTCGTCCTCCGAAGATGCTCAAACTCCTCAAAGAAGTCTTCAATCGATCTGTTCCCCTGGGCCAACTTACGATATCGTCTATGTAAATCCCGATGGAAATGTGGTGGAACATACCTCTTTCTCATGAGATGTTTCATTTCTCTCCAGGAGATTATTGGATCATAGTGAGAACGTCTCCTTTCGGCTCACGAATATAACCCTTTTCCAATAACTCTTGTACCTGTTTTTGTAGCTCTTTGGTCTCTTCGGGGTTCATTCGATACGCGGGTCTGTTTGGAAGAGGTGTTCCCGGGATCAAATCGATTTGATGCTCGATTCCTCTCGTTGGTGGTAGCCCCGGTGGAGTTTCTTCCGGAAATACATCCTTAAACCGCTCTAGAATCCGTGTGATCTCGGAAGGAAGCTCTTTCTCTTCGAATCCTGTACTCAAAACATCTTTAAAGACCATGAGTAGTACAGCTCGTTCATCAACCAAAGCTTTACTTACCATGCTCGGTTTGACATAGAAATTCGGTTTCTTGCTATCCTCAACTTCCTTAGACAACCTCAATTGCATTTCATGTATTTGTAAAGGGCTAAGAGGTGCTAATGAGATCTTACGCTTGTTAAACATGAAAGAGTAGTGATTTGTCCTACCATCGTGCTTAACCTCTCGGTCGAATTGCCATGGTCTTCCAAGGAGAATATAACCAGCTTGCATAGGAACCACATCGCACATTACCTCATCTTGGTATCTCCCAATGCTAAACGAGATTTTCACCCGTTCATTCACCTTAAGCTCTCCTTGGTTGTTCAGCCACTGTAGCTTATAAGGGTGGGGATGCTTTTCCGTTTCGAGCCCTAGCTTCTTCACCATGTAAACACTAGCAACATTAGTGCAGGAACCACTATCTATGATTAACCCACATACCTTTTCTTCACGGTACATTGGCTGTGGAAAATGGTTTCACGTTGTGCGGTTTCTTCTGGGGTAGTCATGGTGCTCAAGACTCGCCGTGTGACAAGTAGCTCCCCGCTGTCCGGATACTCAACTTCTTCTTCCAGATTTTCAGCCTCTTCCTCATCCAAAGAATCATAATCTCCAGCCTCGGTAATGACCATTACACGCTTGTTTGGACAATCACGAGCATAATGTCCTCGACCCCTGCACTTGTAACAAATAATCTCGTGGCTCGGGATGTTAGATTTGTTACTTACAGAAGTTTCACCTTTGGATGTTGCAATGCCCTTTCCTTTGTTCTTTGGATCCTCTTGAACAGGTTTTGAGGTGGGCATGTTGTGTCCTTTGCTCTCGGTTCTCGGATACACATTGCTAGACATTCTGGACCGGTTTGTCCTAGCTTGTTTCTTGTGTATCTGCTGCTCTATTTGTACAGCAAGATGTAAAAGATCATGAATATCATGGTAAACTTGTCTTTCTACCTTTCTTGCAATGCGTTCTTGTAGTCCGTCTAGGAATTGAGCCATAACAGTCTCATCATCCTCTTCTATCTCCAATCGATTCCGAAGATGCTCAAACTCCTCAAAGAAGTCTTCAATCGATCTGTTCCCCTGGGCCAACTTACGATATCGTCTATGTAAATCCCGATGGAAATGTGGTGGAACATACCTCTTTCTCATGAGATGTTTCATTTCTCTCCAGGAGATTATTGGATCATAGTGAGAACGTCTCCTTTCGGCTATTTCTCGGTCCCACTACGTGAATGCATTGTCCGTGAGTTGAGCCGCCGCGTATTGAACCTTCCTCTGTTCGGTATAGGTATAGCAATCGAAAATATTTTCCATCCGCCTCTCCCAATTGAGATAAGCTTCAGGGTTAACTTTACCAGCAAAAGTAGGAGGTTTGAGTTTTAAATCTGTACCTTGGTGTCTTTGAACTTGTGGTTGCCTCCTAGGTACATTCTCCTCATCACTTTCATCAACATACCTTTGGTTTTGAACATTCTTCCTCCGTCGGTTCTGAGTAGAATGATCAGAATCTTCATCCTCTTCGAGAGGAGCTCTAGGATTTTGCATTCTTCTCGGTCTTTGTTGTGCATCAGGTGGATCTGGTTCTGGATTTGCGTTATTGGGGCGCATATTGAACCTAACAGGTTGTATCCTTCGTGGTGCCTCCTCTAAACGCGTTAAACGTTCCTCCAGGCGTTGCTGGACTTGTAGGATCGCAGTTTGAGTGTTCTCTGCGTTCTCAGCCATTTTTCTTGCACAAACACACACAAATCAAAATAACAAGAAGAAAATCGAATCAACAGCGTTACCTTGCATGTAGCCTTGAACCGGGCTCTGATACCAAAAATGATACATGCACGGTTGTCCAGTGGAGCAAGGCTAAGATAGTTTGGAGATTCGGTAGACTTAGGAGCTTCTCACCGAATGATTCCAAAAAGGAAATAGTGGAGAAGTGTTCTAGGCTTATGAGCACTCAGATTTCACTTCAAAGAGAATGGAACATTACGATGGATAGGTGACACCACAAAGAGGGATGACAGACTCTTTGATCTCGTCACAAAAGTTTCGGCTAATGAAATTGAGAATCCCACCCAAACACTAGTTCGAAGACTCGGGTTTGCTTGAGAATTTCAAGACAAAATCGAGAGAGAGATGAACAAGAAATGCTCTGAATTTTATTATGCAATCTAATCTCTCAACACTTGACAAAGGGGCCTGTTTAAATAGGCAAATTCGCAGAAGAGAAGAAATGAAAAATAGCTAGTTGATGTCTAACAAGAAAGGAAACAATTGCTGGAAAATACTTAAAAGGAAAGAGAATTCTTCTGCAGCAATCAAACTCCAACGGCTAGTATGAATATGGCAAGAAGATGATTCTCCCATCTTCTAAGGTAAAGTCTCCAAATCTGCAGAAATCCCTTGAATGATGCTTCTAACGGCTAGGATGAGTTAGCAGATTTGAGATCAGACTTTTGATGATTTCAGGTGCTTGTTATGCTGATCAGGTGTTCCACAACAAGCTCCCTAATGGCGTCTTCAGGTGTTAGACAACAAGAGCTCAAAAATGAGTAGGCTCTTTTTTTTTTAATCCGCAAGCTTCTCCGGTTCTTGGATTGTCTTCAAGGGTCTTGGCCACGAACTTGTTGATTATTGAACGCAAGCTCCTTGCTCGTTCCCTTGTGAGTGGTGGATCGGGAATGATCGGGAAGACTGATTCATTGGTTGTCTCTCCTTGCTTGTCCTCCTCCTTGGTCCTTTGTGCTCCTCAGCTCCTTTGTGCGTTCCATGGTTTCCTTGCTCCGCTTGCTCCTCGTTTAGCCCATCTAAGTCGATGACCTCATCAGCTTGTGATTGAGAAATTTCGGATATACCTTTGTATCTTGGCTTGGAAACTTTGGATTTGGTCTTAATTTGTATATTCGAATCAAACCATCCTTCGATACGATCCAACCTTTGATGTATGACCTTAAATTCAGCTCGCATGATCCTTTGTATCATCAATGCTTGCATTTGATGTGGGTTTACTTCTCCATGTTATTGATGATTATCTTCATTACTATTTTGTTCATCTGCCATGTTTCTCCAAAAAGAAGGTAAGGAGAAATAAAAGAAGAAAGAAAAAATAATCTCATTACACTCAATTGTTTCACTCAAATTTCGGCTTTTACCCTCTGATGATCTCCCACACTCTTGCTTTTTACCCCTCTTTAGTATTCTTGATATGGTTCTTATTGAACTATTATCAAACAAGATCGAAAATCTTCTCTGCAACAATACAAAAGAGAAACCAAGGAATGAGACGTAAGAAGATGTAACACGATCGAAAACCAATTCAAAATCGTAGCCAGGAGGTGTAAGATGACTTTTTTTTTCTTTTTGAGAAATGAAAATGAATGGAGAACATTATTTTAATTTTTGAAAAAATCATGTTTCCTTTTTTTAAATAAGCTTTTTTTTCTTTTTATTTTTTTTATTTTTTTTCCTCTTTTTTTTTTTTACTTTTTTTTCTCCTAATTTTTTTCTTCTTGAAACTTTTCAAAACACATAAACTAAATTAGAAGAAATGGTTAGAAAGAAAATGATGACAAAACAAAAAAAGAGTAACGAAAATTAAAAGATAAAGGATAGATAAAACCTAAATTAGAGTTATGCTCTGATACCTAATGATGTGGAACCGGGAATGAAATTCTCTAATTAGGCTGTGTAGACCACGACCTCTATCCAACGTGTAGGAATCAACCTTGGTACAAGTCTAAAGAGTGCCGCGACCTAGACCTAATGTCGTGATTAGCAACCTTGGTATAAGGAAGGCGCCACAAATGGTTATGACTGTCCGTTTGATAAGCTGGGTTGAACGCCACGGATAGAAATCCGATAAGTTCAAAAACAGTTCGCAAAGAACTAAAAGACTGATATGATCCCAAGATCGATAGATTTTCCGATAGGCGGTGGATGGGTTCCCTAAACCCCTAAACAACTCGCAAAACGAAACCTAAGCAAGCATTCAAGACGAACGGTCTTAAACCCCGAGTGAACCTGGTTTAGAAATGTAGGGTGATCGAAGACGCCACAAGTGTTGTGAGGAATCAACACTTGATAAGTCAAGATTGAACGCCACAGATGAAGATCCGATAAGTTCATAAATTAGTTCTAAAATAACTCTAAGAGAAACTTCTCAAAATATATTTCAAAGTTGTTGTACAAATCTGATTTTTGATCTCTATTTATAGAGAACAATACATAAAACTTAGTAAAATAAACATAAATGAACACAAACAAAGAGGTTTGAATGTGTAGTCTTCAAGAAAATCATTATTGACTTTGTGGTCTTCAAGAATGAAGTTGAAAATTCACTTTGACCAGATTTAATGCTAATTTTCGTCCTCCCTCTTGGGCTTGACTTTTGGGCTTGATTTATGGGCCTTCCAAGAATGAAATCAAGTGGATAATGGGATGAACTTGTGGTTGATCCAAGCCCATGCACTTTTCCATGTATTCTTGACCCAAACATTCAAGAATAAGGCAATTTGGTACAACTTGTAGCTTCTTGGCTCGTGCTCTCGTCATCGGTCCAATTGGCTTGGTGAATTCTCCCGTTTTAGAAAAGTTTGGTAAAGCCAATAAGGGAGAGTTGGTTAGTCTGTCCTTTAACAACTCGAATGCGCGTTGTTGATCGTTCCCCATCGAAATCCAACGTTCTTCTTGATTACTTCAGTAAGTGGGGCTGTGATTGTGCTAAAGTCCTTCACAAACCTTCTGTAGAAGCTAGCTAAGCCATGAAAGCTTCGAACTTTTCCAACACCTTTAGGACTCGGCCAATCTCGGATCGCTTGCATTTTTTCTTCATCAACCTGAATTCCTTGTGCACTCACCACAAAACCTAGAAACACAAGCTTATCTGTAATACCCCAATTCCCGAATAAATTATTTAAATTAACTTCGGGAATAAAATAGGGTAAGACAAGTCTAAAATATAAGGTGATTGGCATAAGAATCGAACCAAGGGATCAACGGGACTCGAACGCGTAAAAAATGTCAAAAAAACAAAGGAAATAGGGCGTAGACCAATCGGTCCAGAGGTAGACCGACCGGTCTAGCGAAAGACGGAGAAAAAGACGAAAAAACGGTACAGAATGGACGGACCAGGAGGTAGAACGGAGGGACTGCCCGTTCGCGGAGCGGAACGGACGGACCAGCAGGTAGAACGGACGGACT